TGATTCTAAGGATTGTACCATAGCTGTACTGTAAAACATGCATTGGCTAATTTTATCAATGGATGTGGAATATTTTAAGTAAATTTTGAATGCGCAATAAAAAATATAACCTTTGTTTAGATGAAAATAATTTAAATGTTGAGAAGGACTTCTTTTCTTTTTCTTAATCTTATGCACAGAACAGAAGGCCCTTCAGAGAGAAATTCACCTCTTTTTATTGGCTAACATAGATAAAAGTTGTAATGGTACCTAGTGTCCCTGACTTTAGATACTTTCAAAGATGCATACTGGAGATCTTTATTGATCCACTAACAATCAACTCACCTGCCAATATACATTGGAAGGGTATTTTGATTTTAATTATTATTGAAATAGAAGATGATCATAACACAATTCCATGCTCAGGACCCTGAGGATATCACACTCCTCTCTCATCTCTGTCTCTTATAGATTATCTTCTACATAGTTGTAATTATAAGAAGTATGTTTTTTTCTATTAATATTATAAGCAGGCTCATATTTCAGTAGTTATTAAAAGATATCAGTTACTTTGTCCATTGTTCTTATAAATAACTGACAATAAAGAATTTAAGGAATCAATGGTTAATGTTAGCTCACAGTTTGAGGTACAGTCCATCTTGTTGGAACACTTGTTAATAGGAGCATGAGACACCTGGTTAAACTGAATCCACTCAGAAAGTGAAGAGATTGGTCATATTTTCAGTCTGCTCTTACTTTTATTTAGTCTAAGACTAGGACCATAGCCTGAGGTACAGTGATGCCTAATTTTATGATGAGTCTTTTAAACTCATCAAATCCCTCCTGGAAACACCATAAGAGGCATTATCAGAGGGTTTTCCCAAAGGTAATTCTAGACCTTGCCAAACTGACAACATTAAACATCAAAACTTTACACTGAGTATCTCATAACAGGAAAGACTTTCTGAGTTGGAGATATGGCTAATTTGGAGTATGGCTGACTAACATGCATAAAGAATCAGGTTTGATCCAAAAAATTAAATAAATTTAGCATGATAATGCATGCTTTTAAGCTCTCAGGAGAGAAAGGCAGGAAGGTCAGAAGTTTAGCATTATTCTCTGCTGTGTAATGGGGGCTGAAGGCCAGTCTACCATATATAAGATCCATCTCAAAAGAAAACAAGAAAACAAAATTAATTAAACTTTAATCTAAAAGTCTTTTTACACCTAAGCAATTCCAATATGATTCTAGAGTCTAATGATTCTTCTGAAACTCAATGCAATATTGTAACTATGTGCTCCCATAAAATAATAAAGGAGCTGCATAGTTGTAACATACAATAACACAAAATAAGCTTTTCACATTAAAAAAATGTAAAAGGAAACATAGTAAGAAAAAAATGGACTCAATATTTTTTCCATTATTAGAAGGCTAATTCTCAGAACCTCATCTCCTATGATTCTTCAGGTTTTTTTCAGAAATATTCATCTATTGTGTGTGTGCCTTTTTGAGAACTTTGAATCAAATAACATTGAGTAGAATTATCATATTATTAATGTAAAAACAAATACTCATATTTCAAGAGTGCTCACAAGTCACTTTGAAGTGTTATGGCAATATGCATATTTTACAGTTTCACTTTTCTTGCAATGTAGGTTTATCACATATAAATGGTGAGCCCAGTAGAATACATGGGAACGTTCCTCACTTTTCTTAATTTTTAGTCAAATAGAAGACTGGATCATTGATAATATCAAGAACATCAACACCATCAGAGATCATCCTGGTGATGTAGATAGTTCTATAATGTAATCACATCCCAGAAAGCTGTTAGATAAATGTCTTTTATCAAATCCGTACTTAGATCCAAGAAATGCTCACACCCTAGAAGAAAGATAGTTCAGAAAACACTGTGTCATGGCTATTTTTATTCCAGTTTCTTATAGTGCATTATTCACTTTACATTGTTTTTATCAAGTGGTACAATCTAAACATCTCAGTGGGGTGGAGTAATTGTCCTATCACTCAGGTCATCAACTGGTCAGAATGTATGCACATTTTTTACATGACATATAAGAAATGTGTACTTTATCTCCATCCATTGCCAGATGAAGGTTCTATGGTGATATGCAAGATATTCATTAGTATGGCTATAGAATCAGGCCAGTTTAGGCTCTCTCTCCTCAGCTGCCCAATGACCTAGCTGGGGACATCTCTCAGGACCCCTGGGCACCCCTCTAGAGTCAAGACTCTTGCCAACCCTAAAATGGCTCCATTAATTAAGATATATACTTTCCTGCAACCATATCCATCCTTCCTTTATCCCAACCATCCCATTCCCCCAAGCTCTCCCCATCGTCCCCTTCTCACTCTTCTCTCCCCAACTCCCCTTTCCCCTATCCCACCCCACCCCCCCCCAGTTCCCAATTTTGCCCAGAAATCTTGTCTACTTCCAATATCCAGGATGATAACTATATGTTTTTCTTTGGTTTCACCTTCTTATTTAGCTTCTCTAGGATTGCGAATTATAGGCTCAATGTCCTTTATTTATGGCTAAAAACCAATTATGAGTAAGTACATCCCATGTTCATCTTTTTTGGGTCTGGGATACCTCACTCAGGATAGTGTTTTCTATTCCTATCCATTTGCATGCAAAATTCAAGATATTGGTTTTTTTTTTTAGCGCTGAGTAGTACTCTAATATGTATATATCCCACACTTTCTTCATCCATTTTTTTTTTTTTTTGGTTTTTCGAGACAGGGTTTCTCTGTGGCTTTGGAGCCTGTCCTGGCACTAGCTCTGTAGACCAGGCTGGTCTCGAACTCACAGAGATCCGCCTGCCTCTGCCTCCCGAATGCTGGGATTAAAGGCGTGCGCCACCATTGCCCAGCTTCTTCATCCATTCTTCCATTGAAGGGCATCTAGGTATTTCCAGGTTCTGGCTATTACAAATAATGCTGCAATGAACATAGTTGAACAAATACTTTTGTAGTATGATAGGGCATCTCTTGGGTATATTCCCAAGAGTGGTATTGCTGGGTCCTGGGGTAGGTTGACCCCAAATTTCCTGAGAAACCGCTACACTACTTTCCAAAGTGGTTGCACAAGTTTGCATTCCCACCAGCAATGGATGAGTGTACCTCTTACTCCACATCCTCTCCAGCAAAGGCTATGATGGAGATAGAGACAGACCCACATTGGAGCTTTGGACTGAGCTCCCAACATCCAAATGAGGAGCAGAAGGAGGAAGAACATGACAAGGAAGTCAGGATCCTGAGGGGTGCACCCACCCACTGAGACAGTGGGGCTGATCTAATGGGAGCTCATCAAGGCCAGCTGGACTGGGACTGAAAAAGCATAGGATAAAACCAGACTCTCCGAACATGGCGGACAATGAGGGCTGATGAGAAGCCAAGGACAATGGCACTGGGTTTTAATCCTACTACCTGTACTGGTTTTGTGGGAGCCTAGCCTGTTTGGATGCTCACCTACCTAGACCTGGATGGAGGGGGGCGATCTTGGACTTACCACAGGGCAGGGAACCCTGACTGCTCTTTGGACTGGAGAGGGAGGAGGAGGGGAATAGGGGGTGAGGAGTGGGGGGAGCGGGAGCGAAAAGGGAGACAGGGAGGAAGCAGAAATTTTTGATAAAAAAATGTGTACTTTTCTTATTTTAAATAAGAATTCTACTTCCAATATCCAGGATGATAACTATATGTTTTTCTGTGGGTTCACTTTCTTATTTAGCTTCTCTAGGATTGCGAATTATAGCCTCAATGTCCTATAATAAGAATAAGTGTTATTCTTATTTAAAATCTTATTTTTTTATCTTACCTGCCAACCACAGTTCCCTCTCCCTCCCACCCTCCCACTGCATGTGGCTGACATTTCTGTGGTTTGGGCAATCTCTGGGATCACTGGGAGTAGAATTATGATTTATCACTAGTACATGAAATTGGCCTTTTGGAGCCTATTCCATACAGATGTACATTTTGCTTAGCCTCAAAATGTATGTTTTTCTTCTCTCCATGGTAACTTGAGATATCTTTCAAATATGTTGGTATATGTCAGAGTGGGGAAATCATTATCTTCATTAAACTCTATATGCTGGATAAAATCTTCTTTACTGCCTTGAAGGCAAAACTATTTCATTTAAATAGAAATTTTCTGTATTCTTATCAAAATATCTGATTATCTCAACTCTTCAATGAACTATAAGAAAAATTGTAAATTGATACATCAGAAATACTAAAACACTAACATAGTTTTACAATAAGCCTCTGAACCCTAGACACAGAATCTAATAATTTGAGACAATGTTACGTTTTCTACCATGTATCCACATAATTCACCTTTTGTATACTAATTTAGATGCTTCATTCTAAAATGACGCAGTATGAAAAGTTTTTTTTTTCTTAAAAATCATTTTAGAACATATTACAAGTACAAAACAATTAGAAGTGATTCCTAGCAGCAAAATGGCCTTAACAGTGATCTGTAACTCCAACTTCTGAACCTCATAGATACCAAGCTTGATTGTGATACACATACAACGATTCAGGGGATAATACTCACACATATGAAAATACAATAAATATATTTTTTAAAAACGTGCTCAGCCTTTATATAGTAGGGAGAGCCTTAGACCTTCCACAGCAATGTGCCTTACTCTGCCTGAGAATTGGATTGGGGTGAAGTGGGAGGGTATATTGAGGGAATGGAAGGACGGGAGGGTGGGAAAACTTGGATTGGTATGTATAATGAAAAAAGTTAGTTATTTAAAAAAATCAATCAATAAATAAAACAAAAATAAACAAACAAAAAATATTACAAAAATGCTTTAGTTTGAAATATTAATTGTCAATAATTGTACTTAATATAATATATAAGAGAATTACGTAGAAATTATTCAATAAAAAATAAAAAAAATGAAATGTAACTTTAACAAAAATGTTTTCCTTTTTTTCAGTATCATATTTCATTTAATGATTAAATATTCAAAGTGAAGGATTCAGGTACCTTCTCCAATCCTTCCTCCTTGAGACTGATCACATCCAAATCAAAATCTGTCCGTAAGCCGTTGGTTTTGTTGAAAGTTATTCTGCCTGTGAGGCCTTCCCAGTGAGCCTGAAAAAGAAATGCCCACAATTAGAAGAGATAGGAGGAAAGATGGAGTCCTGCTATCACTGGTAACCCACACTGCTTTATATTATCAAGGAAGAAACAGAAGACAAGAGTATCCTCATGGTCACTGGCAACTTTAGCTGCTTTGTAATGGCATTCTGTGGTCACTAGTGGATCAAGATGCTTTACATCTCATGAAATGAAAGATTTTCTCCTCAGCCACTTTCTAACTTCTGTACAAAATATAAATGTTCATCTTATATTATCAATGGTTATGGGTATAAGCTTTTTCCTTAGATTTATTAAATGATTTTGTTTTATATATTGAAGTACACTTAACAAAGAAAAATTAGCAAGGTATGTTATTAGGTGAGATACTGAACATATTACTTAATATAATTCAGACAATATAATGGGACTAACTCCCTAAATACATATCACCAAGAAATGCGTGACTCTGGCCAAAACTGAATCCAGAAAAGTCTTTCTTCAATTAACAAACAGAAAAGTATTTCTTCAGTTAACAAACTTACCTTATAATAATCAATGCTACCTTTCTCTGAAGAAGACAGGGGAAAATGTATCACAATTATTATATATAAGACTACAATGTCTATAAATGATGTACCCAGTAGAAACTAGGGTAGGAATACAATCCTTCCAATGTAAGCAAATAAATAGATTTTATTTTAAATAAAAAATATTTTCTATATTGTCTGTTATTTAGCAAAAAAAAATATGTTTTCTACTACATAACATCTGGAAAAAAAACTTAGAAAAATAATTACCTGAAAATTCCAAATGATACAGTGTAAGCATGCAATATTATAATTTTAATTATACACTACGAGCCAAAAGATATGGATGTTGGACGGTTATGATTAATGATTTAATAGTGAATGTAAGTGGATATCATCACTGCATCATTTTTTAGTTGCCATGCTCGTTTCTCAGGCACTAGTGCTAGTGTACATGTATTTCAGCTAATACATTCTAAATGAAACAGAAAACACAGCAATTATCCGTCTTCGATTAAAATGTGTCTCGAGTAGTAAAGGCTTATTTCCCTTCACTTCTTCAAAAGAAAAAAAAATAATCAAGTGCCCAAAAGAATTTCTAATAATGTAACAACAGACAAAAGGATCAAAAGGAACCAGAATATATGTAGAGAATAGCAACATGGAACTAGGTAAAGAAAAGTGAAAATATAACAGGCAAAAGCAGGCAAGTAATAAAAATTCTGTAACATACTCAATTTTAAGCTTTCTAGCAACCAAAGCAGAAAAGAAAAGATGATAAAATTGTAATGTGCAGCATTCATATCTGGAGGCATTCCAGCTGCTTGGGATAAACAGTGCTTCCTGTTACTGAAACCTGAGAGAAATTTCTCCTGTTGGTCGTCTTACAGGAATAGTATGATTTAGTGGACAAGGATCTCAATTACACCCTACAATAAATACAGTGGGGGATGGCATATAGCTCTTTCTTTCAGGGCCAGTCGACACGTATCACCGTCATAATGCTCAAATGCTGAGTTCAGAAAAATCGATTCTTTAACCACTGAGACCTGTGATCTATGAGTAGAGCTTTGAGAGTGGAGAGTATTTTAAGCCAGAAGTGAATGTAGAATATGAAGCAACTAATACACACCACGTTCTTCAGGGAAAATCAGGACTCCTAGTTGAATTCAACAAAAAGTGGACAATGGAAATGCATCGAAATTGTTTAACAGTATAATGCAGTTCCTATTCCTGTTCTTCTTTGTACTTTCATTCCATGATGAATAATTCATTATAAAATAAACTGATGGTTAATTTTAAGACAATGATAAAAATCTTAAGTATACCAATGACTGAGCTTGTTTTTATAGCTAATAGGAAGTCCGTTTAAACTTTCACCGAAGAGGAGTGTGCTAACCAACAAAGGACTTCCCTTCATAGAAAGAAGAGAAAAATACAAAAGAAAAAAAAAAAAGGTTTGTGTGTACATGTATATAAATGAAGAATTTTCCAATTGTTTTTTTCCTGTCTGAGGCTTGATCAAAATCCAAAGGGAAACAATACATAGTCATAAACACCACTCAATTACCCAGTGTGAGATAAGTTTTGCACTTTGTGAATCCATATATTATTATTGTTTTGTGTTTCAAAGTGATAGGGATTGAACTTGGGCATTATATACTCAGCAAGGAGTCTACCATTGAACTATAATCCTAGCATTGATGTATTCATTTTTAACATGACTAGTTAATATTAATAAAATAATTGTACATGTTGTTTCACATAGTTGCATAGATGAAAATAGCTATGCCTCATATATTATTTTAACTTTTATGTATGCTAAATGACATTCCTATTAAAAATACACTTCATATTTTACTGTCTAAATTACAATTCTTTAGAAAACAAATAAATAAATACCTAAATAAAAATTCAGAGAAATAGATTTTCAAAAATAAGCTTAATATCATCAATTAAATTTTCAATGGGGCATAGGTTTCATATGATTAGGTCATAATAGACATGCTGATAGCTACTGCATAAATTGTTTGTAAAATAAAACTTTTTATTTAATTGTTCAGCCTCAATATAAGGGATTTTGCCTTGTCTCATTTTATCTTGTTTGTCCTCTTTAGCTGTTGACTTGTAGAGGTCTGTTCTTTTCTGAAGAGGAAACAAAGAGGGAGTGGATCTGGAAAGATGGGATGTGGAGGGCACAGGTAAGAGGAGTGGATGGAAGGGAAACTGTGGTTGGTATGTGTTGTGTAAGAGAATAATACATTTTCAGTTAAAATTAAAAAGAAAAAGATAACTTTACTTGCTGAGGGGAAAAAAGAATGTTTCAGATTTTTGTTTGTTTTGTTTTGTTTTAATAAAATGCTAGAAGAACTACCTGCATCGAGTTCATTTGCAATCATTTCTTTACTTACCTCTTTAATTAGGCTCATGAAGCGTGTCCCAAATCGCCAGGGTTTGTGTCGATTACACTGCAAGGAACTGACTGTCATCTGTGGAAACTGTTGGACGGCCACGGACACAACATGCACTGCATCATACATCAGAGCCGCATCTGTCTGAAAGCCCAGAGACAGGACATCCATGTTCACAAAAATATGCAACAGGGCAGGCAGTATCATGAGAAGAATGGGGAAAGGAAAACACAAATTTCCAATGTTTCTGTATTTTACCGAAAAATAATTTACTCTGCATTGTGTGGTTCTTTCAGTGAAGACAATATGATGGCATTATTACAACTCATTAAGAACAGCTGATCCATCTGGCCTTTTATTTTTTTAGAAGGCAATAGCCCATTTTATACAGTGCCCTGATACTCTTTTTGTACCGGAAATATAAGAAGATACTGTTTATTTCTCTTCTCAGTCTCCTGCCGTCTGCCTTACTCTGTCTCACCACACATACAATTGGAAGAAATTGTGACATTTAGGATGATTATGTAGCTTACATATCCATAAATGACGTAAACAATTCCCCTATCCAGGAGGAAGAAAAGAGATTTTAAAGAGGGTTACTCAAAAAGCTTAAAGATGTAAGCACAGATTTTGTCTCCAGCTCTATTTACAAATATCTGTTCTCAATCATGATGAATCATTCTACAGACTGCTCAGGGTAAGTGTTAATCCCTTTTCAAAAATCTAAACCTAATCTCCTCTGCTGTTTTCTTCACTCAAAATTTCCATATCAATGAGTTCATTTGGCTTCTCAAGTAAAATGAATATGAATTCTACTGTTCTGCATCTGCTCAAGTAGCCAGCCACCTTTTGACTTAGTGATAAAAAAATAATGGTTATAACATATAACAAACAAGAAGTTCAGTGACAGTCAAGAGACATGTTAAGAAGACCCTCTCCCCAAGTTTTTGGGACCCATGCCAGATTTCATACCTACAAGAGAGGGTCACACTGGCAGAGATGGTAGCAGTGAACTTTAAGCCATCTGCTTGGCATGCTTTACAATAAAATCAAGTATTTCCTTTTATCATTCACACAATTAGTGGGCTGTGAAATGAATTCCAAATTGAATAGGAACCCTGTAGATCATACTGTGTGCTACAATACAAGACAAAATGAGGAGACTATTTTTTCATTCCAATGTTTACTAAGAGCTTTACCACAAGAAGTAAAAGGATGCTAAATAGCACACTGTAATGAAAGTATATAGTAGTAGTCATTTTGTCCTTTATAGTTACAAACTTCCTTTTTAAAATAACAGATGGCTAATTTCATATATTCTACTAATGGCATTGTGGTACCTAGAGGAGAGAATTTGATACAGAAATCCAATATAAAACATAGAATTATACTACTTGGTCTGGATCTAAGTTAACAACTGAAGAATGTATCTGATATATCACACATCTAGTCCTAAAGTACTTACCGAATTTGAAAAATGTATTTTTTTAAAAAAAATGCAATGAAATTTTATACCATACCCCTGTCTGAGAAAGGTAGGAAGAGATGAAATCTTTCAGGTATTATGAACAGGCTAGCTTCACATATTACCACAGACAAAATACCTTAAAGCATTCATTCTCTCTCTAAATTCAAATTCCATTTCCTTATGTGATGGTCAGTCTTGTCAACATGACTGCATTAGGGTCATCTAAAAGGCAGGCCTTTGGAAGGACGCTATTTCTTAAGATGCTTAACTGAGGAACAAGGAACTGACATGAATAGGTGGCTTATACCAAAGGCTATCATCTTTGGCTGAATTTATAAGAAGACAAAAAAGACAAGAGAGAAGACCATATACCTCTCTTGTATCCTTACTGCAGACACAACCAGCTGTCTCACACCCCTGCTACCAGTCCAGCAATGAGACTCAACCCTGTAACTGTGAACCAAAAATACTGTCCCCTTTTTAAGTCGCTTTTATCAAAAATTTTTTGAAACAATAGAAAAACAAAGTCTGGCTTATGACAAATAAGAAAAAAGTATTAACATTAACTTTAAAGGTATCTTAAAAGTTGGAATTTTGTTAATTATATTTTTGGGCTCTAATACAATAAAACCAGATGTGAGTAACAACAGTCTTAGGAAACCAAACAAATAGGGGAGAAATAACTCATTCCTGAACAAACAATGAATCACAATAGGTATAAAGAGCATAAAAAATACCTTAAAATAAATACAAACAGAGACATAAAATAAAAAAAAATCTACTGAGTAGTAAAAGGAGCATTTATGGCAATCAGTATCTATATTCAAAAACCATAAAGAATTTGCATAAACAATCAAGTGCTGTACCTCAAGGAAATGAAAACACAATATCCAAACAAATTTTAAACTAACAGGAAGAAAGACATAATAAATAATCAGAGTGGAGATAAGAAAAGCATAGTCCTAGAAATGAAAACTGACACTTAGAATTGCCGTTTCTAGAAAATAGTGTGTCACTACATGGACTCAAAAGCCACTAAAAGCTATGATAGGCTGGCATCTCTACCTTCATTTTGTCTCTGTTTCAATTACCTTGCATATTACATGATAATTACTTGAAGAATATCTGACTACCAAAAACATACCTTGTGTCCCTTTGGGTCTGAAAGCACAATAACAAGAGCTACATTCTTCAGTTCTAATCATCTTGGGTTTCATGAACTGAAACCAAAGCCTCAAAGGACCAATGATCCCCTAAATGAGGACAAATGTCTGTGATAGCAAGCTGTAGTCTGGAGCACAAGTAACCAAAAATGGCACCAATGACAACTTCTTCAGGTCATCTCACAGAAAGAAAATTTCTATAAATTTCAGATCAGCCTGTATAACGGGGTAAGTTCCAAGGCAGCTAAGGCAATGAGAAAACCTGTCTTAAGTAAACAAACAAATGATGATAACAACAAAGAAATTGAGGCAAAGTCATTTTTTAAGAGGTGTATTTATTTAAAATAAATTTTAAAAGCTTTGACTTTATAAGTTTTGGCTGTGTGTGTTTGTGTTCACATTACTACTCTTGGTCGGACTGAAACACTAAAATTCACCCAATATTATTCATGCTATACTTACATTTCTCCCTTATACTTGGGTTAGTTTCTAAATGACAGGCATTTCTGGACAATCACAACACCAACATCACATATGCTGCCTTGCATACAGTAAGTATATAATAGCATCTTTAAGAATAAATGTAAAAGTTCTGCCAAAAAGTTTGCTTTTATAGTAGAAGAAATAGGTGTTGGGTCACTCTGAATAACAATCACACTTTGCCATCTCCTTAGAATGTGCCGCCTCCCAAGGGTACCTTGAACCAAATCTGCCAGCAGCTCCAGCCTGGGAGGAATATGTGTGCAACCTCTGTCCCGATTTCAAATGAATTTATAGTAACAATTCTGTGAACACATTTATCTTTTCATTAAATAAATACAGGCAGGTCCCCTCTGAGATCTGAAGCTAGCTGGCAGGTGGCAGATCCATTCTGGAACTCCTACGTTTCAGATTTTGCTCATTTCTGAAATCCCATCTGAGTTTCAATGCAAAGCACAAAGGGCTGCCTCCTCCAGTAAGTGGAAAATAACTCTATGGATTCTGACTCTTTTATTGATTGGCGTCTTAACTGAAACAAATAATCAAAATTTAAAGTAACTCTATTTTCTTTTTTTCTGTTTTTTTTTCTTAGAAATTAAAAAACAAAAAAGATTGTCCAAAGCATTGCTTTATGGGAGAACAATTATCTCTTTTAAAACTAGATAGTTTCAGTTGAAAAGTAATTGCAAGTGTTGATGGTTCAATTAGAAGAGATGGATAGTAAGTGTGATGGGAAAAGAGGAGGATATTGGCCTTGGGTGCTCCTGGGCACAGTCAGCAGAATTTGAAACAGGACTGAGAAATATGCACCTCTCTGAAAACAGAAGGGTGCAACACAGGAAGGGCAAGCCGGTGTTCTCAGCTGGCACACTGCGCCCAGCTCCCTGTCCTTCACAATGCAAGTACATGATGCCTGCTAACCGCAGTAAGTGAATGAGGAAGAACTGCCCTCGGAACCAATCAGGAACCAATTGTGAAACAATTCTCCCAGTAACTAACTCTGCAGCTGCCATTGTGTGTGCTCTGCTGCCAGCTCTTTGTCCCACTCTGAAAAGAGTTCTTTACCAGCAGCTGCATGGACCACATGGGCTGCATGAGGTAATACATTAAAGCACTTTCCCTAGTTCCTGGCAAATGGCATACAGCAGGTGTCGTCGGATACTGTTGTTGATCATCAGAAAACTGGTAATCACTTCATGGTTGACACTGGGCCAAATCATGAGCCTTTTTAGAAAGTGCAATGTTGCAACTCTCCTGAACATACCTTTGTCCTAAATGGGGTATAGGTCTATGCTGCTCAAGAAAACACATCAGGATCTGGAAAAGGAGGCCAAGTGGGATCATTTTCATAGAAACTTCTATAAAATGAAGTATGTTCCTGATTCAATGGAAATTAGAGCAAAAAATTCTCAAAATGCAGTTTATTGACAAATTTAGAAGTTAAGAATAAAGATACACAGTAAACTATTATACTGCCAGATATACATATATATTAATGCATATACTAATGGACCACTGTCGGGCAGGTGACTTCATACCGGAAATGTGACCCTAGACAAGTATCACTCATTATATTGTTGTCGGGTAGGGAATTGATTAGGTTGAGTCAGGGCGTCTCTTCAGTTCCATTTTCTTCCATTATGATAAAAATAATGTGAGAAAAAGCAATTTAGTAATGAAAGGGTTTATTCATCTTTGAATGTCACGTGCATCCGTGTTTGCAGTAAAGTCACATATGTAGATGGTTGAGACCTTTGGTCACACCATATCTATTGTTCCATGTCTATTTAATAATCTTTCATATACACATTTCATAAACCTTTGGAAATTAGGAAAGGTAAGGTTCGTTTTTCTTCTTCTTCCATGTCTGTACACATATTCGTCTCAATCTGTTTTTCAACAACAAAACATGTCCTTCTTTGTTGCGGGTTTCTTATTTTTTAAAACTATTAAACTTCTTAACCACATTAAGACTCTCCTAGCACCCAATACTCTAAGAAATAAAGGTAGTATCTGTTGTCTACTAGCTCTTT